GCGGGGGCCCTGGGGCCGAATGTCTGGAGTGGGACGCGGGCAGGAGCCCCCGCCAGGACTTGGCAGTAAAGGAAGGGGCCCGGGAGGAAAGAGGAGAGGAAGGGGCCGAGCGATCCCCGCTGAGGGCAGGGGGTGAGGGACACACGGAAAAGAGACCGTGATGGGCGTCCCGTCCCCTCCAGCCTGAGCTCCCGGGCTGGGGCTGCAGCTGCCAGGGGTGGCCTGTTTCTGGGACAAGGCAGCGGTGGGTCCCCTCGCCCCTTCCCCCAGTTACCCTACTTCCCTGTCCTCTCTCCTCCAGTCCGTGGCCAGTCCTCATGTGGCTCCAGAGCCGATCAGCGCAGACCCCCTCCCTTTCCTCCTCCTCCTCCCGCCCCCTCCCTTCTACTCTCCTCCAGCTCCTTTCATCGCTGGTCCATTCCCCTAATCCTGGCCCCCTCCTGTAATCCCCCCCATCCGACCCCAGGCCGGCTGCAGCTATTGTAAGGTGGAGAGAAAGGAGAGGGGGGACTCGGAGAAAGGAGGGGGTGGGGGAGGGCCACCTGTTCCAAGACCCCCTCCTAAGGCCAGACTGGACACTGGGTGGGGCCATGGACAAATCACCGTTGGGGACCACAACGACCAGGGTATTGGGGGGAGGAAACTGGGGCTGCAGGACTAGTGGTGGGGGGTGGGGCAAAGACCCTCTCCCTCCAAAAAGACCCAGAGAGTCACGAATACACAGTGACACACACTCTCTCCTCACACCCGGCGGCAGGGGTTGCCCTGGGAGACCAGGCAGTGAAAGGGAACAATCCTTTGGGGAAAGGGGGAGGTGGGGAAGGGTCTGAGGGCTTGGACACAAGAAGAACCGGAGGTGGCAGGGAAGAGGATTTGGAATTTATTAAGGTCACAAGCACCCCTGCCTCCCATATTCAGCATTCCTGAGCCATACACTGCCACCTCTTTTGTAGCCTGGGAACTCGGAGTCCTCGTCAGCAGGAGGCCGCAGAGTGGTGGGGGGCGCGCAGAGTCCAGGGTCCTTGAGGCAGTTACATGAAGAGTCCTCCTGGGAGGGGCAGGAACATGTGGACAGATGCACAGGTGGAGACAGGTGGGTGGGGGCGCCCACCCTGCTCTGTCCCTGGCCCTCGGGAACTTCTGCCCTTCCTCCAGTGGCTCCAGACTCCCCTCACTGGCTCTCAGATCAGCCCTTTCCCTCCCAGGGCGGCCTCATACCAGTGACTTCCACTGAGGCCCCGGTGATGTATCCACTGTCGTCAGATGCCAAGAATGCGACCACATCTGCCACATCTACGGGAACAGTGAGGAGAGGGCAGCTCCTACGTACTCCCATGGACCCGAAGGAGCCATCATCTCTCACCAGAAACCCTCCCCCGGAAACAGAACCAACCATCAACTCTGTGAGACCCTCTCTGATACCACAGGCTGTGGGACCTGTTCACTCAGGGCCTCCCATTCACTCAACGCTCACCCTCAGGGTTCCCCAGGTGTCCCATCGGGATCATTCCAGTCACCTGTAAGGAAACACTCATGTGTGGCTCAAAGTTTCGTTTATGGATTTTTTTTTTTTTTTTTTTTTTTGGAGATTGAGTCTGCGACCCTTTTTCTTCTGTCTTCATTCCTGTGCACATACTGATTTCCTACTTCTAGCCAGGTACTGTGTCCAGCATTCTCTCGCTCTCTCAAACCCAGAGAGGCTGGGCTCTGCACGGTTCTGCTCTCTGCCCTCCACCCATGGCCTACCTTGTCCAGCACTTTCTGTGGCACTTTCTGTGTCATGGGTGTTGCAATGAACCCTGGAAGGACAGAGTTACAGCGGATCCCATGTCTGTGGAAGGGAGAGCAGCTGCTGACTGTGGAGAGGACTGGACAATGACCCTTCCCTCGGAGCTCCCACCTGCCTCAGCACAGTCCTCTGTATCCCCAGGTGTCTGACCGACCTGCCAAGTTCCCGGGCCACAGTGTGGGTCAGCCCAATCACGCCAGCCTTGGATGCTGAGTAGTTTGTCTGTCCCAGGTTCCCCACCTACAGGTGAGTCAGAGATGTGGGATGAATCAGGAGGCCCCAGGAGCAGCTCTCCTCTCTATGCCCTGACCTCATCCCAACTCAACCTGACCTTCCCTACGATGCTACTGATGTTGATGATGGAGCCATGACAACCACTGGACACCAGGGCTTGGGCTGCAGCCTGAGTGATGAGAAAGATACCCTAGTTGGGGGGAGGGGGAGGGGAAGAGAAACAAGGTAGAAGGATCAGCTGGGGCGAGAGCCATCCTCCAACTCCCTTCCCAAGATAAAGGGGCCAGAAATCAGATTCAGAGTCACCACCTTGAGGTTGACAGCTATGACTTTGTCCCAGTCATCCTCAGACATGTGGAGAAGAAACTCATCCCTAGTAATGCCCGCACAGGACACGACGACAGACGGCGGGCGAGAAAAGCAGGCCTATGGAAGAGGGAGGTCACACACCAAAAACCATGGCGAGCAGGGGGCGGTGGAGGCAGTGAGCGCTGAGGGGGGAGGTCGCCCGCGTTCACCTGCACTTGCTCCAGCAGGCGCCTGGCGGCCCCGGCCTCCGACACGT